TTTGTGTTTTGCACCGGATTTTGAACGCATTACAGCAAAAATGTTTTCAAGGGTGTCCTGGTTCAAGTGAAGGGTTAAAAGGTGGGGAAAACTGTAAACCGTAAGACCGTAAACCGTGATTGCTGAGCGGCAGCGGTGACCTAACTGTCAAGCAGAAGCCACGAATGCAGTGTGGCTGCCTTCTACACCCGAGTAATTGCAGGCTTTTAAAAACCAGAATCCACTCTTTCAGAAACTCCTCGTGGATAGAGCAGTTACACATTGCAGAGGCATATGGCGTCTTTGCAAATTTCTGCGAGCTAATTAGGCTGTCAAAGAGACGGTCGATTCTCTCAACGAATCTCGCTGTGTGAACAGCTGAGGCTGGCGAATGCTGAAAAGTAACAAGGGCATACATTGCAGCTGCGCAGTGATTTCTAAACACTTGAGCTGCTAGCTTCACCGACACCTTTGACGATAAGGTTAAATTAAAATGCTTCTCCTTCAGCTTTGGCATAGAACGGATCTCAAGTTTTCGGTCCTTTTCATAAACTTCCTTGATGTAGGGATTTTTCACTATGTAATCACCAACTTTTAGTCGTATTTGAATAACATGTTTCTGAGGCACTTCAAAAGGTGCAGAGCATCGAAAAAGAAAAAAGTGGCTTGCCATTGATCTCTATTTAAGGCTTTTCGGCAGTTACGATGCTTGAGAAAGAGACACGTTATGGCGCCCTTGATCGCATACAACAGCTACCGGCTCCAGGCCAGCGTCCACAAGGGCGATGTAGCACTGGAAAAAGATATTTTAGTACATCTGAAAGTGTGCCTTTGTGAACAAAACAAATAGCCAAGCGGCTGCTTCCACGGTGTTCCGATTCCTTTCGCCATGAACACGAGAGCCTTGTTTGCCAGCTTTTTGCCTTGCTGTCCACTATGCTCTTCAGGTCCTTCAAACCTGTCAGACGAGGGGTTGTATGAAATCTCTTTTTTGATGTGCATTTCATCTAAGACTGTGCTGCAGGCCCGATCGGCTCGAGAAAAAAAAGCTGCCCGCCTCTTTATCAGTTGAAAAATGCCAGGGTAAAATCCAACCTTCAGTGGCATACGCTGAAGCCATAGCTGCAGCGACCATACTGATGGCAGCCTGAGCAGTCGCCTGCAATAATTATAGCTTTGGGGCTATGAAAGTAGAGTCCTAAAGCCAAGACTTTGTTGTGGCTGCATCATCTCTGGCCAAACCGGCTCACATTGATTATTCTAAGCTGGGCATCAACGAGTGCGGCGACAGGAGGAGACACATGAACGCGGACACTCTCAACGACTTCGGATACTGTCCTCATCTGACGTTGTCGTTGCAGCCTTCTTTGCAGCCTCTTGTTACGCTCTTGAAGCTGTTGCACCTTGGCTCTCAGGGCGTTCAGCTTCTTGTTGCTGATACTGCGACTTTTGCAGGGTGCTGCAATTTGACAAATGACCCAAAGTAGGTCTGCTAGAAAAACTTGCATTCGCCATCAATTTATTAAATGTGTAATCTATTCACGCTCAAGAATATTCCTCAGTGATTTGAAGTGTCTTTAAACAAGAACAGCAAGTGTAACAGACTACACATATTCAATTCAAGTTAAGGAAAGCAGCAGTACATCTTTATGTCAGACTAGGCGCTTCATGTTTTCCAGAGATCTAATAGTCCAAAAATACAAGGGCGCACACAGAAACATGCAAGTCAGAATAGGCACCCAAACTGTGAAATGCATTTTCTTAAAGCTTGACCATACCTTACTTATGCCTATGGCACTGTAACAGTGAAGCGCTCGCACAACAACACGCAACTAAAGTTTGGCAGATAGGACAAGGTACCATGACAGGCTCAGCATCACTCACATATGACCACGGCAGCTTTTCGATAACTTTAAAAAACACTGTCTTACGTGAGGTTTTGCGGGAAGACTTATGATTCAGTGAAACCGGTTCAGATGTTTTTGATTTGACGGTGTTAACACCTGCGTGTGGAACTTTTTTTTGTTTTTTTGTGTGCTTGACAATTACAATACCGTGAATAAAAAATGCGGTGAACTTTGAACAAACTTCGATTGGTAGCTGTCAGCTACCCGGTCTTGTGTTATGGGACCCCTTGCGCCATCAGCTCTCAAGATAAAGTTTAGTATCCCCTGGAGTTTTTTTGAGCCTTGGCTTTTTATTTTTGCGGCTTGACCTTTTATAATTTCACAAAAAAAACTGCAAAAAGAAAAAAGTTCGCATCATAGAAAGCACTCACATTTGTGAGAAGGCCCAGCAGCACAGCCAGAGACAGAGAGTCTCTAGGCGACGGTGAAGAAACCAAAATCTCCATGTCAGCCACGTCCCCGCCGAACTCTTGAGCAGGAGCAGCATCTTGACGTAGAGCGTAGCTGTGATCAACTGCAAAAAAAAAAAGAAAGAAAGAAAGGCTTTTGCAAAAACTGCAAGTAAGAAAGCAAGTTCAACAGAGTGTAAAGTTGGGCGAGTTGGTCGTTCATCTAAGCTGGCAGAAACAATGCCTCTCTGTGTACTTATACAGCGCCTGTCTGTATACTCCTTGTTTCCTGTCCTTCGTCAAGTTGCGCTGTTTCTACCAGTTAAGAAAGCAAGCTCACAAAAAAAGGGAATAAAAATATAGCACAAACAATATTCGGCCACCACTTATTATAGGCCCCTAGTGGACTGTTCCCTAGTAAGGTGCACGAGAATGTGTGGTCCAATGAAGCCACAGAAATCCGCTCTGCAAATTTAATGTTAACTTAGCGAAGCAGAAGAGGTTGAAGGTCTCCCTTATTCCCCTATTTGAACGCATAAAACGTATATTCACCTTCGTTCATGACAGGTTTATTTCAGAAGACTGTTTGTCAGGGTGACTACAGGAACTCCACCTGCCTGAGCAGCCGGAGTACGTGCAGTTCGATGAGGCTGGCGAAATCCTCTCTGCAAATTTAGCGTGAAGTTAGCTATGGAACAGTAGTTGAGTTCCTTCCTATGTGTCTATTCTAACACACGACAAAGAAAATCACCTTGTTCCCACGAAAGTTACATTTCGGAAGACTGGTTGTCAGGGTGACTGCAAATGCTCCGTGAGTCTGAACTGCCGAAGCTTGTGTAGCTCGATGAGGGTGGCAAACTCACCTCTGCAAATATATGGTGAATTCACCTAATTTAACACAAAATGTAAATAACTTTCTTTCATGGGCAGTTTTATTACGGAAGACTGGGTGTCGGCAAGGCAAAAGATGCTCTGTGGACCGATATTGACGTTGATTATGTCACCTCAAATAAAGCATGCCATTATAAACGGGCCTGAAATGAACTTCTAGCAGTACCTCTGTCCATGTTCTACTTAGCTTTTCCCAGCTAATCTCACCTAGTTCTATTGCAAAATGCTCAAGTCATGAAGACCATGAGGTAATGCAGTGGTGTTGGCAGTTACTGCCACTTTATGTTAGTTACAGCGAAAAAGCTCACCATGCACAGCTGCTGAACCTGTAGAGCTTTTGCTGGAAATGTCGCCATGTGTCGTCTCTGAAAATAATATTAAAATGCTATGAGCCCACAGAAGTAATATTTCAACCCCGTGTGGTAACTATTTTTCTAAGAGCGGGTTAACCATGCTTAGTCACAAAGTGCACGGAAGGTTTATTGGTCTTCTAAGGTTTTGTGGGAAGCAGACCTGGCAACGCATTGTGATGGAGGTGTCCAGGGCGCAGGAAAGCTGACTCCTCGAAATGTAAGAAGCAAACTACCCTGCCTCGTAGCTGCCATGGAGTCTTCCCCTGTAGACTTCGCTTGTTGCAGAACCGAACCCAGGCTTCGCGCCTTCAGATAAGGCATGGTGCTATGAGGGTGTCGTGAATACTTACGAAAAAAAATGTAGCCAAAACGTCCACAAACCAAAGCAAATCAGACCAAGGACATTAACAAATGTATCACATCAACGCTCTGTGTACATCATGAAGAGTAAAAACACGAGTCTTCCGCGCAGATGTCCTATTATCTGTGTTGTACCACTCATAACCACGCCGATTATCACGACACTAGGCTCCACAGAGCCAGGCCGGTACAGCTAAATTTGAATATCGTGGACACTTTTATAATGACGGCACACAACGCTGCGAAGTCAGAGTGATTTCGAAGTTAAAACATTCCTAGTATAACATATTACGCCTTCAGGTGTAGTTCCTTGTGCACAATCAGACAACCCTAATAGGTGTAGGTAAAACTGACAAGAGTTAAGAGAAGACCGAACAAGGAGCCTACATCACACAGCAGGCATGTTACTGACAGTAGCGAAGTCTCACCTTTGAGAGTCGAGGGGAAACCGGTGAAACGATGTGCCAGCCGTGCGGGTGCCGCTTTGACACATTTCCACGGAGCACCGTTTCTTTGCGTATCGCGCTGTGCTCATCGTCGCAAAAGACCCCTTGGACGCAGCAGCGTCCAAGGTCCAAGCGCACGACAGCCGAGTTCCCGCGCAGGTAACTGGGCTAATCACGCCCGATCAAACAACAAAACTTCCCAAACGGTGTTAATTGCCGCTAAAACAATTAAAATCGAAGAGTACGTGGAGGCCTAAACACAAGCAAGCAGACGGACGTCAGCAGCTTGCCTTTCCGCGCGCCACGAGGTCTACAAAGAACTGGAAATATCACTATTGCTAGCCGGCCTTTTTGCTAGTGGCGTACAGAGGACGCTAATAAGAAGTATGCAAAATATTAGCAAAAATAAAGACGGTTTTGAATTTTGTAGCGCGTTAAATATGATTGATATTGTTGTGTATGTAGAAAGCAATGTAACAGGTACCCATTCGCAACACCAGGGTGCGCTGGTCTTTGCCCTGTAAAGTGTGCCTTTGCCATATTAAATTTATTCTTTGTGTGCTGTTCCTCTGAGTGGGAGCTTCTGTTCTTTGGCGCTTCGGCGCGACACAACAAAGGCGACGAGGCTCGGATAGAAGATCGAACGAACCGAGTGACAACGTGGCAAATAGCACAATGCCGAAATTCACGGAGTTCAAGCCGGAGGAGGGCGACGTCGACGAGTATCTCGAACGCTTCGAGATTTTCCTACGTGTGAACGCTGTCAAGACGGAAGACAAGACCGTGACGCTGCTGAACTACATCGGGAAAGCGTCGTACCAGGTTCTGAAAACCTTGCTCGTCCCAGACTCGCCGGTATCGAAATCGTACAACGTACTTTTCGAGGTCATGAAACGCCACTACGCGCCCAAGCGCTTAGTTATTGCAGAGCGCACGAAGTTCCATTGGAGAAATCAAGAGGTCGGCGAGAGCCTAGCGGACTTCTCCTTGGCTATCAAGAAGCTCGCCCAGACATGCGCGTTCAAGGACTACCTCGACCAGGCTCTTCGGGACCGACTCGTGGCTAGGTGTCGCGACCCTGAGGTACAGCGGACACTCATCCAGCTCGACGACGATTACTTCGACGAAGTTCTGAAGGTGGGCCTGGCCAAAGAGCTTTCTCTGCGCAAAACGGACGAGATACGACAGCCCGGCGTTCCGGACTTAATGGACGTGCACCGCGTTCAAGGTGAGGGTGAAGGACACTCCAGGCGTCCACCTTCCGCCACTGCATCCGCCACTGCAGAAAATGGTGGCCCAGGGCATTCTGAGGCCTGTAAAAAGTAGTGAATGGGCAACACCCCTCGTTGTGGTTCCCAAGTCAGGGGGTAAAGTTCGCACCTGTGGTGACTACAGTGTGTCCGTAAACCCAAAGGCGACGGTGGATCACTACCCGTTACCGAGGGTAGATGAGGTATTCAACAACTTTCGGGAGTGTGGCATCTTCGCTATTTTGGACCTAAAGACTGCATACTTGCAGTTAGCCCTTGACGAAGCGTCTCGGAACAGCTCACAGTGACCACTCACCTAGGATTGTTCGAGTTTTTACGTATGCCTTACGGAGTCTCAAGCGCACCAGCAATTTTCCAGAGTGTAATGGATAATAATTTGTTGGGCCTAACCATGGTAGCGTGCTATCTTGACGATGTACTGGTGGGTGGCGTAGACCAAAATGACAGCAACCAGAGAGTCTTGGAAGTGTTGAAACGTTTTCAGGAACATGGACTTTGTGTGAAGAAGGACAAGTGTAAATTTTTTGTACCCGAAGTCCGTTACTTTGGATACTTGTTGAGCTACCAGGGTTTGAAGCCATGCCCTGAGAAGGTAGAGGCTATTAAAACGGCACCCGCACCGAGTAACGTGACGGAGGTTAAGGCATTTGTGGGCTGCTAGCTTTTTATGCTCGTTTCCTCCCAGACTTAGCTGCCACACTGGGACCTTTGTATAAACTCTTGAAGAAAGACAAGAAGTGGCATTGGTCGGAAGAATGCCAACAAGCTGTAGACAGAATAAAAGATGAATTGGTACAGTGCTGAATTGGTACAGTCCTCTACGACCCTAGTCTACAACTTCGAGCGACGGCCGACGCATCCAGCTACGGCCTCGGAGCAGTCTTAACCCAAGACATGGGAAACGGGGACTACGAACCAGTGGAGTTTGCGTCCAGGACGCTTACTGTGGCTGAACAGAACTACGCCCAAGTGGAAAGAGAAGCCTTGGCACTCATATTTGCGGTCAAGAAATTCCACAGGTATCTCTTTGGGCGTTCGATGACCCTAGTAACAGACCACTACCCGCTAACGTCGATACTGGGACCTAAGTATTCTACAACAGCCATAGCTGCTGCGAGGATCCAGAGGTGGCGCTTGTTACTTGCAGAGTACAGCTTCAAGATCCTGTACCGCAAGGGCGGGGAACTCGGGGATGCTGATGCCCTATCGAGACTTCCTCTGAAGACAACTGTGGGAGAAGAAAGTATGTTGAAATATTTTTCACCCACAGAGCAACCGCTTCTTTCAAGTTCCGATGTGGGGAAGGAGACCCTCAGCGACCCCTTGCTGCGACGTGTCCTTGAACACAACAAGAGAGGTTGGCCAACATCCGTGCAAGATCCAGGGTTGCAACCTTCTGGCAGAGGCGGGAGATGCTGTCAACGGACCAGGATTGCCTACTATGGAGAATTAGAGTCGTGATTCCACAGGCACTACAGGCTGCGGTCCTCAAGAGCCTGCATGAAGAACATCCAAAAATGGTGCGTATGAAACATCTTGCGAGAGGGCATGTGTGCTGGCCCGGAATCGACGCCATGATCGAGAACAAGGTGCAGTCGTACGAGATCTGCCAAGCGGTTCAAAACGACGTTCTTCCAGTACCACTCCAGCCATGAAAGATGACCTCGCGGGTCTTCGAACGTATTAATTTGGACTTTGCAACCAAGTCGGGAACCAACCTGTTTGTTTTGGTTGACAGTTTTTCTAAATGGGTTGAGGTCCTGCCCATGTCTTCCACAACCACACCCCAGACAGTCGAGAAACTTATGGCTGTCTCCGCACAGTTTCGACTACCCGAAGAAGTGGTGACTGATGGAGGCCCCCAGTTTCGAAGTGAGGAGTTCAAGAACTTCTTGAAGGATCAAGGAGTGGTGCACACCATGACGCCACCCTACCACCCGGCTTCGAATGGCGCCGCGGAGAAGGCTGTGCAAACAGTTAAGTGAGCGCTGCTCAAGCAAGTACTTGAAGACGACCTCTGAGGGAAGAGCCGGAATATCCAGGAGAAGTTGTCGTGTTTCCTACTTGCCTACCGGATGACACCACACACAAATATTGGGAAGGCCCCTGCAGAGCTGTTCCTGGAATGGCTTCCGCGGACCCGACTGTCGCAGCTCAAGCCAGGTGCAACGTCCCTTCCACGACGAGAGAAGCAGAACAAGAAAAAGGAGCTGGCAGACAAGCGCAGAGGTCAACGAAACTCCTTCAAGTGGGCGACAGAGTTTGGGTCAGGTATGTGAGGGGGAGAGAGTACACTGGACTAAAGGAATTTAAAAGAAAGCAGGGGGATCGGTAGCCCAGTGGTCTAGCGCACACCAGCTCGGAGCACGTGGAGCGAAAGCTCGCGCTGCAGAACCCAGGGATCCTGGGTTCGAGCCCCACCCCTGCCCGTTTCAATCTGGATGAGCATCGTACCGGCGTGCGGTCGTGTATCACCACTGCGTGGTGCACGTTAAAGACCCCAGGCTAGCGGTTTGTACCGCACTGGCTAAATTTCTAATCTACAGCTGGGAGACTCGTCGCCCCTGTGAGGCAGACCAAGTTCTAGGTTGTATAAACACACACACAACCCAATTTTTTTTAAAGAAAGCAATTAGTCGGGGTACATACCTGGCGCGGGTGGCTAACCACATTCGTTATATGCATGCTGATCACTCGCGCTTTCGAAGTGAGGGCTCGTCCCGATCAGCCTCTTCGGAGAGTGGATCGAGTGAGAGTGTTAACGAACCGGGCGAATATGAGGTGCCTATGCCACCGCATGCTGATAGTAACATAGCTGCTCAGGAAGTTCGACGATCGAGCAGAGCTCGACGTCTTCCAAATAGACTAGTGTACTAGTGTTCGTTTATGTAAGTGTGGAGGACTGTTGTGTATGTATAAAGCAATGTAACAGGTACCCATTCGCACCACCAGGGTGCGCTGGTCTTTGCCCTGTAAAGTGTGTCTTCGCCATATTAAATTTGTTCTTTGTGTGCTGTTCCTCTGACTGGGAACTTCTTTTCTTTGGCGCTTCGGCGCGATACAACAGATATTATCTAATAATTATATTTAGCATGCTTAAAAATACTAATGATTATACTTCCAGTCATAAACTAATTAATTTTAATAATGTTCGTCCCCACCTCTCCTAGTCGCGCTTCAATCGCATCCTTCCCGTGACCCTCCAGGTCGATGTCGCTGGCGATTTGTTTTGAACCGCTTTTTGGCCGAAGCTTCGCTATCCATGTACATACATATACGTTGGAACCGCTCCGTTGGGGAAGGCATCGGGTGGAAATAGGGATAGCAGACGACACGAAACAACGCTACGTCCTTCGGATTGTGAAAGACTCGCGGAGAAGCGGCTACGCGAACCGGCTTCCGCGTTGCCATGGCACCGCAACGTCACTAACGACGCCACCTCCCATTGGCTCCTTTCTTCTGCGTTGAGGAGCGGCGCGCTCTGAACCGTGCAAAGAGCGGTTCGCTCTGCGGCGCTGTACGTCGCGCCACTGAAGCCGAAAACTGGTTTTGATCGGCAGCCGGCCGCGCCGACCGTCGCGCCGCATGCCTCCGCGACGCCAATGTGGCCGTGCCTTAAAGGGGCCCTGCAGTCATATTTAAGCGTCTACCTTTTTTGCGGTTTCCACGTCTCTTGGGGTTCGGGCAAGCCAGCGGGCACGGAGAGAGTAACTAAATATCAGTGCGTCATATTTCAACCGGACGACGCGGAAACCACCTCCACCGACGAGGGCGACCCGCGGTACCGAAAGCGCGCAAAATGTGACGTCTTGGTCCTAGGCTTACTACTGGTTAGAGCCGCTAAAAGTTTTTTCGTCGTCGAAATACAAAATATAAGTGGCGCGAACCGTTTCAATTATTTATAAAAGAAGTCTTTGTTCAGTATTTTAGATCAGAAAAGAAACAAATACAGTTTATAAAGTACGGAAACAAGAAAAGACCCGTTGATATACCCACCACCAAGCGGCGGAAAAAACGGCGCGCACTAGAAAGAACTAGTGGGATGAGGCTACGACGAAGGGCCAGCGCAGAAAGGTCCCGGATGTACGCGGCGGCGCTGCGGTCGTATACCGGCTCGACGATCCGACCGGTTCCGAGCGTTCCGAAGGCCTTCGGCACGGGCCCTGCTGGCGATTTGGCCATTTGGCGGCATGGCAGCGCGAAGTGGCTCCCGTTCTGAACTGATCTTTACCCCATGTTTGCTGTCGTTTGTGGCCAATGAAGTGTTATGCCGAAATAGTCTTTAATCGCGCAGCAAATGCAATGCGAGCCGCCCCGGCCGCCCACTTCATAGAGCCTATCCAACACATGCTTTAGTGGCGCCCTCTCGAGCCGTCGACCCGGAGTGCGGCAACCGTGAACGCTCGATGAGCTCACTACCCCTCCTCTAGTTCACGGCCACTCAAGCCAGGATCTAAGACGTCACGAAGGAGGTTATTTTTTGCTTGTTTTTGTAATTCTAATTCGCCTATAACTTTTAAATTAAAGCGAAATTCGAGAAAAGAAAAGTTTCGTTAAGTTACTACGTTCAGTGCGCTCAGGTTCGGTGCAAATTAAAACCAGTCAAAAAGTCATTGCAGGGCCCCTTTAAGAGCTGCGCAAGAGGAGGAACGATACGACGTATCGAGCTCACGCTCCGTACGTACGCAAGGTAATTTGAATTCTCTTCGCCGAAAATACTAGCCAATTTCTATGCGAATACAAGAATCCTTATGACAAATCTTGAGATATTACCAGTTCCCGGGTACTGCCATAGACCCAATGGAGTCGATTTCTGGGTAAACTGGGAGCTCAGCAGCGCTTCCGTGGTCGGAGGCACTCATTACTGCAACGAATCGGCGACTCATTGCTCTACTGATAGATTGCGAATCTAAAATAAGAAACAATAATCATGTTCATAAAATAGAGCACTAACGTTTTAATTATGACTTTTGACGCCGTCGAGCTAGCTTCAGCGGCTTCTTACTCTTTTGCGAAGGCGAAGCCGCTCAAAATCCAACATGGCGCAGACCCTCC